TAACAAGGAAAGTAAATTACTATGAGTTTCACTCAGCTCACCCTTTAACAAGGAAAGTAGATTACTATGAGCTAAGGAAAGTAGATTACTATGAGCTTCACTCAGCTCACCCTTTAACAAGGGAAGTAAATTACTATGAGCTTCACCCAGCTCACCCTTTAACAAGGGAAGTAGATTATTATGAGCTTTACACAGCTCACCCTTTAACAAGGGAAATAGAGTACTATGAGCTTCACCCAGCTCACCCTTTAACAAGGGAAATAGATTACTATGAGCTTCACCCAACTCATCCATTTAACATGAATATCTTAACATATCAAAATGATAATGAATTATATATATATATATATATATATATATACTTTTTGTATATCAATAAGCAAACATATAAGCGAATGTTTATATATATACATGCACATGAAGTATATATGTGCAACGATACAGAACAAGTAGCAAATGTGCTTGTATATGAATCTGTAGGGATGAAATATATTATAGAAATAGAAATAATAATAATTGTTGAAACCTGTCACAAACTTAATATCTCTGTTGGTTGGGTCACCCCACCATTTAACAGATTTGGGAGCGTGTCTTCAAGTCTCTTGGCCGGAAGGCCTGTTTTCCTTTTTCGAGTAGGATAGTACTTTAAGGATCTTAATATTGTAATAAAATAATGATAAACACACAAGTAATTGAACTTGAGGTTGTAGTTTAGTGACTCGAGCAAATTTTCTATTTGCACTCGCATAAATTAATATGTATGTAGATGCACGACACGATTTTTTGTCTGGATAATAAAATGGACATGTAGATAATAAAATAAAGACATTAAGGTATTGCATGTATAATGTAGTAAAAGGTTTTACTTATATATTTTGAAGATTATATTCTGCCCCCGACCAATGTGCATTACTCAAGTAGTGTGCTTGATTTGACATTGGCTTTAGCACGTCATTGAGATTCTTTGGTCTGGCTCGGTTATCTCCACCCCTATACTAGGGGAGTAGCTGTCTCGCCTCCTTGGAGATGATTTTTACCACTTTTACTCGATTGCCCCTTCAATAAGGGAAATCGAAGATACACGTTATCGGTTGGAAAAATGATTCTAAGAGTGGAAGCTTAAAATGGCTTCTCATTGGTGATCACAAATTAACCAGAGAGAGGAACAAGAATTTGTACCTTCTTTGCTTGAAAACTTTATGCTTGAAACATCTATTATTGCAATCTAGAGCCAAGTCTGTAGTGCATAAGTGCATATATCATGCCGGTGTCCGTAAAATCCACAACTCTGATAACATACATGCTGGTTGAAGGATCAAAAGATGCTTTTGTCTTGTCAATATAAAGGCTCAAGTAAAACATCTGATTTCGGTTCAACCTCAATTCGTCATTCAAAAATATTGGATAGCCTCACCAGGTTAAATGACTCATGGTCGGAGATATGAATGAGAAACTCAGCAAGAATGAATGGATGCACCAAGTTTGGATACAAGCTTCTGTAGATTGAGAGTGATGATGGAAGTTTGCACTAATCATTTTTGAGACCAAACGACCAAAATGGTCTCTTCTTGACTGAAGAATGCACAGTTCAAAGTTCACAAACCCTTTACTCAGCGCCAAATCAATTTGTAGAGCACAGAGACTTCATAGCCGTCAGATCAAATGGAGAATAAGATCCAATATACACGTTGAATCATTGTTGCTCACTGTTACCATTTCAGTAAAATCACTGCACATAAGAGTTTTTGTGGTTTTGTTGGACTCCGAAAATTACTTGCAACCATTTAATCAGGTGCATGGTCGACCATAACATATTAGAAGCCCTTGGATCTCTGACAATATTAGGAACAATATTGTTTAAACATTAAATCCACTGCTCGCTCAGGAAAGCCAAACAGCCCCTTTGAGCCAGCTATATTGTAAGTCGGTTTGTGGGAGCCTTTAATTTTAAATTCCCATCGAGAGACTTCTCACTGGTAAGGCACATGCACGGGAATGATTGATTACCTGCATTACAAGCATTTACAAACTACTCTTGTTGGGGCTATATTAGTTTTTGCCAACGTAGGGACATATATGATAAAAACATAATTATAACAAATGGAATGAGCTAGTTTCGACATTAACCACAATGTGCCGGTAAGCGTATGTAATGTGTCATTTGTCATTCACGACAACTGATCAGGTTCTAATACATTTTGGGTCTTATACTTGTGTGTTCCCAATAGACTCTTCAAATTATCAAAGTTGCAGTAGAAAAAGCTATCTTAGTGAGACCAACTACATCACAGATCATTAATCTATATCAAATTTGCATGATATAATATTTCCTTTTCAATTCTTTTCTTGTGCTTCATCTTGTAATTTCAAGTGAATGGAAACCGATCACTTAAGCCAGATTATAGTAGAGCAGTTTTTAAAAACTAAACTCCTATTGCATGTCAATTAAGTGCACAAGTGACTCTATTACGGGTGCTACTGATATTACAATAGTACTAACTATAAATCCAAGAAAGATTTATTGTGCTATATTTTTTTTTTCTAAAAGTGCCCATCAACTATCAGGGTACATAAAACCAATCTCCAAAGAAGTATAATGAAAGAATTACGCAAATGATAAATTGATAAATCTTCCAGTACTGTAAGGTATAATAAGCATATAAGTTCTTCATCTGGTGTAAGGCCTGGACATTTAATTGGTCGTGATGCAAATAGAGACTCCCGATGACATGGAACTTGTCCATTTTGTTAGATTTTCTACTGATACAAATAAAATAATAATAATATTCAAGTTTTTGAGGCCAGGGTTAGAAACCAATTTAATTTGATGAACATGTACACTTTATAGACGCAAAAAAATTACTCCATAGTTCTTGTTTGCAACTAGTGTCATTGTGTGATAAAAACTCAGTGAGCCTCAGAAAAATGATCAACCAGTGAGGTTTAAAACAGTGTCCAACAGGGAAGTTCACTTCTTTTCTCTGTTCATCTCAGGGTGCAGAACTTGAGCGATCATGAACTCCGGGGAGAGACAGAACTGTAGCGATCATGTACTCCGGCGAGAGGCAAAACTTCAGTAACCATGAACATCGACGAGAGAACGCTACTTAAAATTGGCGAGAGGTGTTACAGCAACCCAGCCGAACAATTTCAACCACATTGAAAGCTCACTTCGTCGGAGGTGATAGAATTTGTGAGTGTCAAATTCTTAGGCGAAGTGTTTGAGTTGCATCAACAGTCTCATCAGACATATTTGCATATAGAAGTCTGAATATCGAGGTCAATATAATTGATATAATTTTCTTCAGTCATGAAACAAATTAATAGTGTATAACATCTTAATAAGGACAATCAGGATTTGCAAATACCATAGAAAGTTTTACTTATCTCAGGCTTTGCCCCCAGCATTAAGATCGGATTGCATTCCGATTATGATTTCTTGAGGAGATTAAAATACGTTTCCCACATACGGTGTAATACCCCAAATTTTAAAGAGGATAGTCTTGGTATTTTAATAAGGATTTTATTGCATTTTTATTTAATTATGTGCTTATTTGGTTAATTTGTTAATTGTGGATTTATTTTAAATTAATTGTTTAATTGAACTTGTTTATTTAGTTAAATTGGTTGTTTAATGGTAATTGTTTATTTATGTAAATTAATTGTTTAATTGTTATTTAATTTAATTATTTGATTTTTGGTGATTTAATTGACGTGTTTTATTTTGTAGCTTATATGATTTATTTGTTTTACTTCTGTGTATGTTTAGGTGGACTAAATTGGTTTGTAATTTATATGTGTCGTATATAGTAGGGTCTTATTTTATGTAATTAGGGCCACCGACTTATAATTTAGTTTGGGGTTTGGAATTAGGTTTTAGTGGAAGCTTATATATATATACCGTTATAATCCGACTTAGGGTTTAGACGTCTATATATATATTCTAGTTTACGTCTGCTGGGGTTGGGAAAACCCTATTCACGTAATAGTGCCTTGAAAAGAAAACAGAGAGGGTCTTGAGTGATAACAAGGGAGGCTAAAGGAGGAAGGAAGGGCTTGCTTCTGGATTAAACCAAGAGCAACGGAGGTATTGAACGGCAGTCGAAAATCTGTCGGAAAACTCAGAGACGGTGGTTTAAGGTTTCAAAATTGAAACCGAAGGCAAGTTCTTATTCTAACTCCTTCTTTTAAACCTGTGTTCTGTGCATGCCAAGGTAGTCTCTAGGGTTTAAATTGAAGTTAATACTAATCATTTAAGCATGGTTGAACTGGATTTAAAAGCGTTGAATAAAACTGTTTTGTGGTTGATAGTTATTCTTGCTGTAAATTCTATTTTTCATTGTTTGTAAACTTGCTTAAATTTTTGTTGTTGATGCATAGCAATGACTTATAATTAATTTAGGACATTGATTGAACCCTAGAACAAGTAATAAAAACTTTACAGAGGCTCTGAGTATCGCCGAGGTGAAGAAGACGAAGGAAAAACGAACGACAGCTCTTAAGGGAGAGAGAACAGGCTCCCAAAAAGAAGGAGCCAGCTCCCATTGTTCTGGAGCAGGCTCTCAACTTGGGAGAGCCTGTTCTCGCCTTGAAATACGCAGAGTTGGTTTTTTTAGTGGCTGTTTGGGCTGTGTGGAGTATTTTTAAACTGTTTAAATTGCACTCACTACAACATATTAGGCATTTACCAGTGCTCATTAGAAGAACGCTGGTATAGGTGAACTAATACCAGTGATATTTGTAGGAGCACTGGTATAGGTGTATTCGTATCAGCACTTTAAAAAAAAGCGCTGGTCTAGGGATAACCGTAGCAGTGCTTTAAACAAAAGCGCTGGTATAGGGGTAATCGTACCAGCGCTTTTAAAAAAAGTGTTGTTAATGGCCCTTCCATTCTTTCCCCCTCCCTCCAATTTTTCTTTTCCTTCCACTTTTTTCCCCTTCCCTCCACTTTTTTTCCCTCCGCTGTAGAATATTTGGAGCCTTTTACTACATTTTTTTGACATCATTTTTTTGGGGCCATTAACACCGTATTTGCTTTCCCATTTCATTTTACAAGCCCTAACGCCCTCTCTCCTTCCATCACAGCTCTCTCTCCTTCTATTACCGGTCATCACAGCTCTCTTCCCTTCCATCAGTCAGCGTTCCAAAACCCGAATTTTAATCAGAAACCAACACTCTAAAACTAGTGGCTTGGTTTAGAGAGACAAAGTCATTACTACTGCACACACAGAGAGAGAAAGAGTCATCGTTGGGGGTTTCCAAAACCTCGTCTACACTAACAGATCGGAGCAGAATTTTTTTAGGTTAGTAACTGTTCACCTTCTGATTTTGATTACCTGTGTAGATCACTGTACCTAAGATTGTTATTATTCTGGTGATAATATTGAGTAAATTTAGGGTTTTATGTGGATTTGTTATTTGAAGTGTTTTAGTTTTCGGATTTCATTTGTGAATTTTACGCTAGATTTAAGGGTTACATGTGTTTAGTGCACTTTCAGTGGCGTAATTATCTCTCTATACACACACATATCAGGTTGTTTCCTTTTACTTTTCCCCTTATCTATTACGAATTTCGTTTGAATCTGTTTAGCAAAAATTTAATATCTTTGCTTGAAATTTGTTGAACTTGTAAGGGGATATTAAATTTAATCTATTTTCATATATTATGTTGTGTTTGGAGCATAAATTCTTTTGGTTATTGAAATTATTGTTTTAGTTCGAACTTTTAATTATTCTTATTTTTATTTTTGCGGTTTTAATTCATAATTGTTGTTTTACAGGAGTGGTTCAGTTTTTTGAATATCTTGCAACTGAGCGTCTTCCTTGCTTTGCCTGTTCTCTGTCTTTAATCTCTCGGCTTTCTTCAAGTAGACTCTTCCTTCGCATCATCAAGAGCACAAGTCAGGTATGAAAGTCATTTTTCTGCATCTTGCCTTGGAAACTTTGATGGGAGAGATGACAATAAACAAACACAGCGGAATAATTTTTCTCCCTATATGCAAGCAAATATAGTATATCTCTACTTTTATATGTGCTGAAAATAATAGATAACAAATTAATCACACCAAGCCACAAGAATATAAGCAATTTTTTACGTGGAAAACTTTTCCAGTGTGAGGAAGAAAAACCACGGGACCTAGTCCAGTTAAAATCTCCACTATCAACCAAATAATGGGTACACAAAGTCTTCTCTAATCGCAATTAGAGGCTACAAAACATCTCATCAAGATAGCAACAATCTTGGCAAAAAACAAAGAGAATTGGAGAGAAAAATACCAAAACCCGGTTACTGTTCATGGGCACGAATCACTGTTCCTGAGCTCAAAATCCGATCTTCACCGTTCAAATTTTAACTCATTGAGTCATGAACCTCTCCTCTAAATTTCAGCTCGATCGGACCACAGACGAAGCGGGATCGGATGCTTGATGAAATCTGGGCAGAATAGAAAAAGCTGCATTTTTCTACCAAAACCTGGTTACTATTCACAGGCACGAATTACTGTTCCCGAGCTCAAAATCTAATCTCCATCGTTCAGATTGTGCGTCACTGAGTCATGAACCTCTCCTCCAAATTTCAGCTTGATCGGACCACGGACGAAGCAGGATCGGACGTTTGATAAAACCTGGCCAGAATGGAAAAACCTGCATTTTTCTTCTCTTTTTTTCTTTCACTTGCGGCTAATCTCTCTTTCTTTTTATACTAACTTCCTTAGGGTTTTCTTTTCCCTAAAGGCTGGGCTCTGGGCTTTTAATAAAACCTACTTGGGCTTTCCTCCATATAGAAGGAAATAAACCCAACAAACTTTTGGTCATGAAGGCCCCTGCAACATCAGTAAATGTAATTTTGGTGTTCTACGACAACCGTTGAACATCAAATGTGTTCCCAAACTCCAGAATGTCAGGCCTTAGAGTTGTCTAAATTGTTGTCTAATAAAATAGTGTTTGACCATATATAGTATGCAAAACATTTTTTTATAAAAAACTATTTTAAATAACTATCTTCTTTTTTTCTTTTGTGTTGCAAACAAATCTAAAGAAAATGTCACATTAAAATAACTATTTGTGTAGAGCAGTTTCAAATAAATAAATAGTCATTTTGTATGCTAGTTTAAAAAAAAAAAAAAATTGTATGTGAATTTCCTGTATCAACTTTTTTGTATGCTGGTTAAAAAAAAAATTCAGACCAACAGTTAGCTAACCCTCCTTCTGTTCATGAGTATTTGCTCCACTCATGAATCATGGCAAGGTTGTTGTACGGCTGCACTTTACACCCTAACCTAGACTTGTTCTAATAAAAACTTAGAAACATAAATAAAACAGGATCATTGCCAATGTTGGAAGTAATATGGTAACAAACTCTTATGCCTCTTTCAAATTTACCTCTTGAGTTACATTTTATATACTCGACTTCTGTTTTGTAGAAGTCTGTTTCAGATTGGTTTGCAATGAAGGCATTGTTATGCTTTCATGACGCCTAAAATACATCGCTAATGTCTTGTAATGGCTTTTTGTTATGGCAGGTATGATCGAGCGAGGGGAGTTGAAATAGGAAATAAGGACGTAAATGTAATACCCCGATATTTTAAAAAGGATTTATTAATTAAATTAATTTATATTATATTATTATTTTTTTATTTTTTTAAATGATTTGTTTTATTTAATTAGGTGCTTGATAGTTGTGATTTGTTTTATTTAATTAAGTGCGTAGGTAAATTGTGTTGTTTTAATTAAATTATAATTTGTAATTTTATTTGTTAAATTTATATGGTGTTTGATTTGTGGAATGCTAGTTAGTGAATTATTTATTTGATTTGCGTGATTTTATGTTGGTGTAACTTTATTGTTAATTATTGGTAGCTATTAAATTTAATTTCATTATTTTAGGTATTTAAGTTATTTGGATTGGGATTAAAGGAAGTTGGATCAACGGATGTGGTATTGGGCTTGAAGGAAGCCTTGTGGGGTTAATTGGTAAAGGCCCGTGGTTGTGAGGATATTTAATAATTATCTTTGCATAATTATACCTATATAATTACATGTGTATATTAATTCATTATTAAATCATGTGTAGGGGTATATATGTCAATATAATTATATATTGATATATATATAGGTATATATAATTTATTTAACTAATGGTTATAAATGGAAGGTAATATATATATATTTATATTAAAATATATGTATGTATATATATTATTTAAAAGATAAATATTATTTATTTTATATGATAATCCTAATGGGAAAAAGATTTAGGTTTTTGGATGTGTATAAATAGACACATAAGACTTTAGGGTTAGGAGTTTTTCCACGTTAGAAAAATACGAGAATTAGAGAGAGAAGAAGAAGGGCTAATGAATAGGAGGCCGGATCAAAGAACGTAAGAGGAGACCGGATCTGGAAAAGAAAAGGCGAGTTCTTCTCTACTTCTCCTCTTAGAACTCATAAATTTATCACTTTGATTATCGAAATAATAATTGTATTTTATTGAATTAAATTATTAGTCGGATTAGATGAGCATGTTTATTTTTAAAATTTTTTTTTTTATAGATTTAAACATGTGAATATATGTATGAATTGTTCGGTTAATTTAAATATTGTATGTGAGAGAAGGTTAATTAAATTTTATTTCTGAAATTTTCTTATAGTTTGTTTTGACTTTATGTAGCGTGATTAATTAAATCAAATGGACCAAAATATAATTACATATATTTAGTTATGGCCAAAATTAATAAATTAAGCTTGTGGATTTTTCCTAGAATTTTCTGGACTGATTTGATATTTTTTAGAAAAAATTCGGATATTTAGAATTATATATATATAATTATATATGTGCAAATTAATTATATATATATATATACTGTATATGTTTACGCACTGGTGGTAGTTTAGAAGGGCGATATTCCAGTGTGGTGCGGCCTATGCTAAAGGTATGTGCATGTGAATCTGGGGCATTGAATTTTGAAATACATAATAGATTGATTCAGTGCATTAAGGTGTATAATATGTTGATGGCTACGCTGATCTAGACCGTTGGATGAGGTGAATGATGGTGGATTGATTCGCTGCAGCGCACCAGCAGGGACGCGGTACAATTAACCAATAGGAGCGCGCCGCGTCAGCAAGAGGAATAGCCAGCGTGCGTGGCCGCGCGTGCGCGTGCGTGGCAGCGCGTCTCAGCGCGTGTGAGCGTGTGCTCACTCTCCAGCGCGTGTGAGGGCGCGTGTGAGCGCGTGCGTGCGTGGAAAGATGTGTAGAAGCACGTGCAAGGTGCTTCGGAGAGTGTAGAGGCGCGTAGTAAGGTATTTGGTGTCTCGAAAAGGTCCGGTAAAGTCCGGAGAGTTTCTAGAATAAGTCTCGAGGTGTTCTAGTTTTTTCTAAAGGTTGTAGAATGTTACTAAGATTTGTGGTAGCCTTTAGCTTGTGTAACAGAATAAATTAATGATTATTATAGAAGGGAATGAATATATATATATATATTTATTTATTTAGTTATTTATTTATAATCGTACATGAGTATATGGTTTATTTAACTTACGATTAGGATGGAAGGAAGTAGTTATATATATATACATCTGTATATGTATATATAGTATGGAAGATATTATATACGTATATATTACATAATATATGTGTATATGGATATCATTTAAGATAATTATTATTATAAGTCTTATTTGGTATATCTGAATATGTTGGTTATTAATTATTGACATGCTTATTATATGCATGAGATGTGTATGTGTGATTTAGCTTATTAGTTAAGTTTAAGGTTGGTACATAGTTGAATTGTAGGCATAGATGAGTTGCCAAAGGCTTAAATATATTGCCTTATTATTCGTATAGATAAAATACATACGTGGAAAGCATGGATGAATTGCTAATTAAAAGTATAAATATATATACTTGAGGAGGCATGGTTGAGTTGCCAATATATAGATAAATATATTCACAATAGCATGGTTGAATTGCTATAGCATAATTAAATTGCTATGTATGTTAGATGATTAAATTCATCTATGTGTACGGTAGGTATGCGTTGGATTTAAGTTAGATATTCTTGAATTAGAATAATCTAGTGGTCACACATTGGTGTATTACTTGGTATATAATAATAAAATATTGTTGGTGGAGACATGAATGATTTGTGAAAGTTTAAATTTCTGAACATGTAATTTAAACAATCAAAAGTATTACTAGGTTTTGGATTTTAGTGGATTATTCATTTAATTGTAATTTATAGCTCAAATGGTTAAATTACTGGTTAGGTTGGAATTAAGGTGAGTGGAGTTTATTTTATAGAAAAATTATAAATGATGGTTTTGGTCTAGGTCTGATTATTAATTAATCGTTGGTAAATGGATTTAACAATTTAACTGCACCTATTAATAGATAGGATTATTGTATTGTATAAAAGTATTTATATATATTTATAGCATTGTATATTAAAGTTTAAACTTTATTAGGGTTTGTTTTGATATAGATGATTTGTTTATTGGCTTTCAGAGGTTTGGTAGAGGGAACTTGTTCGTAGGGTTTAACCCGCGATTTATTTTTCAGGTTGTTAGAAGGTCAAGTCTCAAGGTGGAGGATCCGCAACTGGAGGACTTATCCATTCTTTCTGTTTATTTAAAAGTAGGATATTATTATTGTTTCAGTTGATATTAGTATTTATTTGGTTGGAATTCTAAATAGTGGATTTTGGTTAAGGGGTCCTTGAGTTACGGGATTCCCGAATTGTAACCATTTGGAAGTTATTAATGGATTTACTATTAATTAGGTTTCTTCAGCGTTTGATTTTATTCTTTATTTCATTTTGTAATCTGTGCTTATTTAAATACTTTAATTGTTTTGATATCCCCTAATTTTGTGCGCGGACTTGATCAACCCGTGTTCCGAAATTAGGGGGTATCACAGTAAAGCTTGAATACCTGGAAGTAGCATTCACAACATCTAACTGGATAGGTCAGATTTACAAAGTCAAACCACCAAATAACATGTGGTGATTAACATAACCCCTCCTCCCTTTTATGTAGGACAGAAGGAACATGGTTGATGAATTTTTAGAGCTTCTTTAGTCTAAGAACTATTTAGAGATATACACATTTTGCCATTGAGTTTGTGTTCTTAACATTCGAGGCTTCTATTTATTTGCTAGGATCCTTTATGTTGAAAATTTTACATTACCTCCTTGACTAATATTTATCAGGTCTTTTGATCAAGTAAATGCCCAGATCCTTGACTGCTTGGGACAATGTAAGTGACTGACTTAGTAGATCATAAAATCAAGATTGGGCACTGGACCATTTCTTCTATGAAGGAGAGCTTCTTAAGATGAAACTAGATAACTATTCTGGTAAACAAATGAATTTGTGTTGGGTCTTCATGATTTTTCTTGTTATGTATTGGGTGTCTCAATTTTAGTTTTCATTTACTTATTTTTCTGCTTAAGTTTTTATTTTTATTTTTTGTTCTTGATGCTCTTGCTCTATTTTTATTTTATTTTTTATTTTTTTAAAATATGATTTATATAACATATATGCAATTTTAGGGGCTGGATTTCAATCCAAAAGCAAGTATTTGTTTGGGAAAGTAAATATTCAGACCAAGCTTGTAAAGGGTGACTTTGCAGGGACTGTCACTGCTTTCTATGTGAGTTTCAATTTTCAACTATTATTTTTCATGAATAATATTATATTTATACACACAAACATATACACGAACTGGGTTTAATGCAATTATAGTTTTGGTACATTATGTCATTCAATGCATTTATTTAAGTGTTCAGTTGCAGAAAATAGAAAACTTGACATCGTTTAAATTCAAGAACTGGGGTAGTCTTAGCTGGCTGTTCCTTTCAGCTCGATTTTGGCTCCCTATTTTGGTTGTGGCTTCAGTATTTTCTTTCAAGAATATTGCAATATCTCAATTAGTTGATACGGCAATTTATAGTAGTGATAAAATAATTATGATGATTTCAGCAACTTTTTATTAAATGGCGTTTTTGATCTCTCTCTCTCTCCTCTTGTTTGAATTGGATTCTTGGCTCTGCAAATCATCTAATGCCAAGGACTGACTCTTTATTACTTCAGGACAACTTCATTTACATCCCCATCTACCTTGACTTTAATGTGATTTAAGTACTATTTCTTTAATTCGTTGCGTGTATTTTGTTTGTATTTTGTTCACAAATATTAGAAAAAGAAAGTTTGAAGTTTGATGAGTTCTTTTGAAGAGGGTTGTGTTCTTTAATTCGTTGCATATATTTTGTTTGTATTTTGGTTTCCACAAAACAACGGTCGTGATGACAAAAGAGATCCATGTGCAGTTTTCAATGTGTTCGATTAAATGCTGAAGGGTAGCTTGGAGCGGTTGAAAACAATGAGGTTAGCTTTTGCCTATGTTGTTTTGGCTGGTTTGGATGGTAGATTAGTGCAGCTTTCTTGTAATTTTTTACTGGAGTTGCCGAGTTGTTATGGAAGCAACCAGATAGCTGTAGCAATCCTTCTTGTTTTGAAAGTGAAGTTGAAAAAATGCTACTTAACTACTTTACATCTTCCCTGCCTATTTTTTTAGTATTTCCCTTTTTAGTTTTTAGTTTCAAATTGCTGCTGAGTCTAAAAGCTCCAATTGATTCTTGTAATTTCTCAAATTGGTGAAAGTAGAAACTCTGTTTACAAGTAGTTGTGGAATCATAGCCGTAGACTTCAATGACCTTTAAGAAATAACATTATCTCAAAATAATCTCAAATTCCTTATGAAGTAAGCTGTAAAAGTGCAAAACAAAAAATAACATTTATATGCTTTTTGTGGCATTATCGCATCCCCTATCTCCATATATATTTTCTCTTGATGACCGTTGTAAATATATGCCAGACAAAGAGAGAACTGAAATCAAGGAGCAACTTGATCCGAGGGCCAGGTTTGTGTTGTGCTGCTTAAGTTTGATTATTTCATAAAATAATGCGAGTTTTCAAGATGAGGTTGCTTTTGCCATTTGGGTGTGTCAATCAATTGTTTAATATCCTGAAGATTTTTCTTGCTTAGTATCCTTGAGGTATGATTATTAGTTTTTTCTATTTTTATTTTTATGATTATCAAGATGGATTTACTTTTCCCATGGATAACAAAATCCTTAAATTGTTTTTGGATTTCTTTACCATTCTCGTCTAAAAATTAAAGCTGTTGTACTCCAATATTCCAATAGTTCATACATCAAAAGAAATATCCCGAATTTCCTGGGAAAAGTTCATATATTTAATTTCTTAAAGTTCTCATTTTCTCAACAAAATTCAAAAGGATCATGATTTTCCTTATACAAGTATTTTTATTTGCAAGATGATTTTACTTCAAAATTAATTTTCACAACATTTTTTCTACCTTTAAAATGTTTTTTAATGCCAAAATCTGTCTGGTGGATATTTTTACTTCATATTCTTCTCACTACATTCCTGAATCGTGCCCAAGTTCAGTGTTGTTTGATGGCAAATTGTTTTTTGAACCCCAGATTTGTTCCTATGTTGGCAAGTTGGTATCTTCACTACGATTGTCTCTGTAAATCCAAGTATCTTGTATTTTTTAATTTGCGGTTGTAGGGAAGAGACTCATCTTTTGATTTGCTTGATGATAAATATTTGTATACTTGGCCCCTATCTTTCCTCCCCCTTTTTTGTTGTTTAAATACCTCTAAAACTAGCTCATAGTTAGGGTCCGAGGTTGTTTTTCAGCAATAGCGGGACTTTATCCCTTCTCCTACATCATCGTTCCTAAATCATGCCATTTATATAAATAACTGCAGTTTGCTGGCCTCTTGAATCCTATTCATTTTTTTTTCTTCGTATTGTTTGAACTATTTCCTTATATTGTTTTGGTTTTATGCAGTGATGGGATGAATGGTTATACATCACTTTGTGCTGGAGACCCTTGCTCGCCTGTTGCAGGACTGGAAGATATTATGGATAATTAAGTCATGTAAGTTTCCAATAAATCAAAGATAATCTTTAAGTGGGTTAATTAAAATAAAATGCATCTTGGACTTCTTTTCCTTTTACTTTTTCTATTTTTATTTTTTATCTCACCTGTTACTCCTCTGTTGTTCAGTTGTGCTATATATAGACTTCCAGATGCTCATAAACATATAGCTCGACAACCAGCCAGAGTTATATTCTCATAAACATGTTCTCTTTATATGGAGGTGTTGGGGACCTACTTCTTGATATTTATTGGTTGTGCTGCGGTGGTGGTGAATTGGAGAAGGACAAGGTGGTGACACTTCCGGGAATAACAATTGTTTGGGGACTGGCTGTGATGGTCTTGTTTTGAGAATGTTATTACATAAGTCTCCTTTGACGCAAATTCTCAGGATTTGAGACATTATAAATTTTTTTTTTTCTTTTCATGGGCCTGTTTTTGAGACATAGCTCCACTCTATATCAAATTTCATTATTGCACCGTAATTCAATTTTTTTTTTTTTTTTTTTTTAACTTTGATGTGGATTAGGTTTATCTCGTTAGTAAATTTTGTTTATGAATGGACTTGATGTTTGATTACAAGTTAACTTGTGTTATATTGGATGACATTTAGCAGTCGTAAAGATATTTTAACAAAAAAAAAAAAAGAAAGAAGACCTTTTACCAGCGCTTTTGAAAAAGCGCTGTTAAAGCCCTACCGACACTAGATTTACCAGCGCTTTTTCAAAAGCGCTGGTAATTGAATTACCATCATTTTTTTGGACTTTTACCAGCGCTTTTGAGCGCTGGTGAAAACCAGAACTGTCGTAGTACTGAAGGATGTAATTAGCTGTGATGGATCTATGAAAATATTAGGAAACATTATTACAATATGTATTAAGGAATGGAGCAACATAAAGTGAAAGAAAAGCCTACAATTGGAATACTGTTTTGTTAATTTATTTGCTCACTGAAACTTAGCAAATCTTTTGAACACGATTTAATAATATTTAATCATATTCCAACAGTGTTATAAGTGTAAGAGATCATCTAAAAATAGCTGTGCTTGGATTGGATTAAATTGATGTTTTTAAATATGTTATAAACTGCATCAATTTATGTACTGTTTGGAGGATTTAATTGCTTACTATAAGTCTAGCAATTTGTCTGTGTATGATTAAATAGTATTAATTATGTTTAAGCAATGGAATAAGCATAATTGATTAACTGAAACTCTAGTATGCTTATGTGGAGTTAATTGATGTTTTAACAGTTTAGATTTCATCAATTGTTGGATGTATGGATTTTTATGAAATTTATGTTTAAGAATTTCATTATAATGTGCTTAGTAATGATTCTGATTATCATTATATTGTTCTGGATTATAATTGATAAACTGCTTGTTTTGCTATGTCAATTGTTGGATTTGTTGTGTGTGTATGCACCGGTATAGGACGGTGGCATACTAGAGATGAATTAGTTCAAAACATTAAGTCCTACCTATTCTGGAATAAGTTGGATTAACTATAAAAGTTAAGTTCTACTTATATATATGTATATGCACCGGTATGGGACGGTGACATATTAAGAATGACTTAGTTCAAAATACTAAGACCTACCTATTCTGATGATGGATTAATTCAAAACACTAAGTCCTACCTATTTTGTAATAAGATGGATTAACTGTAAAAGTTAAGTCCTACTTATATATATGTCAGGTCAATAAACATTTGAATGACATACCTTGAATGAACTTATATATATATATATATATATATCTTTATAGTGCCGTCAGGGACGGAGCCAAAAAAAAATTTCAGGGGGGGGGGGGGGGGGGGCACATTATAGTACTGCATGCCATACCATATATTTATAATATAATGTATATGTATATAAGTCAATATTTATGAGTATATATATATATATAGAAAGAGATAATTATGATCTTCTCTGTTTTCTGCAACTGCTATAGACCCACAAGCATTGGTAGTTGTGTAGAGAGTGCCAGATTTCTTACCACGTGCAATGGTCATAGCACCTCTGGAAACTTTCTACAAGTCTCAATTGAAGGTTGTAACAAAACCTTCCCCTGACAATTGTCCCACCGAAATCAGATTCTTCCTCAAGTCAGGGATGTATCTCACATCTTTCAACTTCCAAGCTGACCTATTCAACTTGATTTGCACTTCACCCTTGCCAATGATGTTGCAAGACTAATCATCACCAAGATACACCTTACCAAGGTTACTTGGTTCATAGCTATTAAATAGTTTTTTGCTTGAGGTGCCATGAAACGATGCATCGGAATCTAAGACCCATGATTCCGCCTTATTCTCCAAATAGCATATCAATGCATCATCTGATTTTTCTAAGATAACGTTTGCTTCAGTTTTTCTTTCAGTTCCGTTCTTTAGGAGTCTGCAATGAACAAGGTAATGTCCCTTTTTTTTCCACAATTCCAACACTCAACATCACTGAGATCTGTGGAATTCCTGAAATTTTGAAACTACGTCCTTTCATTTCTTGACTTGGATTTGCCTCTGTTTCTATTACTGTTGCCCTTCTTCTTGTTTGAACCCTTGCCTCTGCTTTCAACATTCAATGCCGAACCACTAGTGGAAACCCCTGTTGTTTGCTTTCTGATTTCTTCAATTAGAATCATGCTCACAACTTCATCAAACTTTAACTTGGTCTTCTTTGCAGAGCTACTGATCGTTGTAACGGTGCCACTCTAACTCTCGAGTAACTGCCCTAGAATTAGCAGTGCTCATACCTTTTCTTTGAAGTCGATATCAATAGACTCTAATTACCCAACTATCTCGTTGAACACATTTAGATGTTCGTTGAACTTACCACCTTCGACCATTTTCAAGTTAAACAACTTCTTGATCAAGTGCACCTTGTTCGCTACAAAAGGCTGTTCATACATACTAGAAAGGGCTGCCATGAGAGACATCGTCGTCTTCTCGTTCTTGATGTTGAAGGCGACTGACTTTGACAACGTCAATCTAACGGTGCCAAAAGCCTTTCTATCAAGTAATTTCTAATTTGCATCCTTTGTATTCTCTGGCTTCTCTTCCACAGATTTTTTCGAAACAAAAGGTCTTCTATTTGCATCTTCCAGAAATCGAAGTTTGTGCCATCGAACTTCTCTATCATGGATGTGGATGTCTTATCTTCTGATGCCATTTCTCCTACTCGAACAGATAGATCTGATCGAAAGACTTTCGAAATTTCGTCAAACACCTTCTGTGCCTTAGGTTTTCAACAAAAGGCTTTGATACCAGTTGTTGGAGTTACACTGCACAATCAACTGGTTCCGATACCAGTTGTTGTGGCGGAAACGCAAAATAACAACGTGCATGTTCAATGAATAATCAAGCAATCATAAAAATAAAATAAAAAATAAAAAAAAAGTCACAAACAAGAATATAAGATATACATGGTTCACCCAAATCTAGGGCTATATCCATGGAGCACACAGAACAAATTTAATATGAAAAAGATGAAGAATTACAAAGAGAATTTTCTCTCAATCTTTCTCAATTGCTCTCTCTTGTGTTGGCACAAATTAATTATACAACACGTATGATTTCTCTCTAATTTTCTCCACACCCTAAAAATACTGATTAGGGTTGATATATATAGCCCCATACAATGGAACACATGTCCAACAAGAATTACCTTTTGTAGAGTCCAAAACCAACAAGGAAAATAAATGACTAGGTTTCAGAAAAGTTGAACCGGTACCCAGAATTGACTACCGGTTCCCAATGTCCAGAGACGAATCTTCTTTAATTCTGGAACCGGTTCCAGAATTAGCTATCGATTTCGACTAGACAGTGGTTGATCAACATTTCCTTGATTTTAACTATCACTTCGTGAAACTGGTACCAGATCTTTGAACCAGTCCCACACGTCAGTAGCCAAAAAAAAAATTGAAATCATTAATTTCCCAAAAAAAAAAAAAAACCTCCAATTTGTGACACAATGATCTGTGAGTGCACAATTTCTCTCTCTTCAATCGCCATTACTCAGATATGATGGAAACCTAATCAGTCGACAGCAAATCCAACACTTCGTTTCTGTATTTACTGTCTAACTTATTCCAAGCTTAGGCCATCTGCAGTGGGCTAGCTGTAGCCCAAATCCAGCGAGCTTCAACACTATAGGCCCTCCGGTGGGCTAGCTTAAAGTAATGGGGCTATTAGCGATCGCGGGCCGGCTCGCGGTATTCAGCGAACCGGCCTTCGATCGCTGAATTTTTTTTTTTTTTTTTTTTTTTCCTAATGCAAAACGGCACCATTTTGCATTAGGCAGTTTTGTTTTTTGACCAAACAGTGCTTTGGCAGAATTTTTTTTTAAAAAAAAACCTAAAAATACATTATTTAGAGCTCTTTTTTTTGGGAAAAAAATAAAATAAAATTCATTAAATAAAAAATATATTGTTTAGGCATTGTTTGTCTAAAAAAAAAAAATTTGGGCCAAAAAAAAATTTAAAAACCTATTTTTTTTTTTTTTTTTTTTTTGTTTTTCCCTTAAAATTTGTTTTTTTTTTAAAAAAAATTTTGCTTTAAATTTTAAATGTGTAGGCCAAATAGTGTATTTGGCCGTTAAGGCATTATTTCTACAGTACCAAATAGTGCCTTAACGGTTATAATTTTTAAAAAAAGTTTAAAAATTCAAATTTTACCTTTTTTTTTTTTTTTTTTCCCTTAAAATTTGGTTTTTTATTAAATTTTTTTGCTTTAAATTTTAAATGTGTAGGCTAAATAGTATATTTGGCCGTTAAGGTACTGTTTCTACAGTACCAAACAGTGCCTTAACGGCTATAATTTTTAAAAAAAGTGTAAAAATTTAATTTTTTTTTAATTTTATTCAAAAAAAAAATATATTAAATTAAAATTTTTAAAATATCTATAAATATCCCAACTCCTACCATCACTCATCACATCTCTATTATCTACCATTCAACTTATTTCTTCTTCTATTTTCTCAATCTTAGCTATTATTTTCAAAGTCATTTCGATTCCATGGATCCTCGACATCCATTTTATTACAACACCCAATTCAACCCATCAAATGATGAGTTTTTGCCATCTCTCGAAGAAAATATCAATTTTTATGGAGGAGATTCTCAATTTCCTTCTCATCAACCATCCCAACCTTCTTATCAACCATCCCAAATTTCTCATCAATATTGTGTTACTAGTGTTCCACAATCAAGTAATTCAAAATCCCCGTTAAAACAACCGGCTATCCGACATAATAATTGGACCAAGGCTGAAGATGAAGCTTTATGTTGGATCAAACCTCTGATGCGATTACGGGGGCAGACCAAAGTAAACAGAAGTTATGGGAGCGAATTCTGGAATAATATAAACAACATATTGGTGTTCCAACTGAGTGAAAGGATGTAGGTTTGATGAATCGTTGGTCGGTGATCCAACAAAAAATCAGCAAATTTTCCGGCTGCATGACTGCCATAAAAATGAATTGTCCCAGC